GATCGGTAGGATCGAATTGAATCCCTTTTCAGATTGAATTGTAAGACAGCAAAATGTGAAGACTATGCAAGCGGTGTGTAGACTTTCACTAGGCGATGTATGTGTGTGTGTGTCAAATAATTTATGTGTGTGCGTCTTAAGAGTATCCTTACAACAGTGTGTGTCCTGGTTTGGATGGGTCCCTCCGGGCCACTACAATGAAACTAGATCCTCATAAGGGTTTGGCAGGTGAAGAACAGAGAGAAAGTGTGGATAGGGATTGAAAAAGTATTTCCTGTCTCTCAGCGGGTAGCAGGGAGAGGGAATAAGAGGAAATCCTGCTCCAGGCTTAGACCAATCATTTTTTTACCTTAACAGTATGTTTTTTTTTCTTCCTGTGGAGTCTATAACCTATATAACAGAAAAATGGACACATATAGTATGGGTACTGCAAAACAGTAAAGAACACCAGGGCCTTGTAACCTAATTAAGGCCTGCTCAGGTAGTTGCCTGCACACTATAGACCACCCGTTGACAGTCCTTTATGTGTGTTAACAAAAAACAAACAATAAAACAAAAGAAATACACACCATCCATCAGTCAACTGCACCAAGAGACCAAAGGGTCAACGTATTTATTAACAAGTTGCAGATAGGACAAAGTCTACATATACACACACATTTATACAGTGCCTTCAGAAAGTATCCACAAACCTTTACTTTTTCCAAATGTTGTTGCTACAGCCTGAATTTAAAATGGATTAAGTTGAGATTGTGTCACTGATCTACACACAATAGAGCACCACAGTGGAGGTGTCATAATACCCATAAAACCTAGAGGTCAAAACAGGTTCCAATCATTTTTCCTCCATTCACTTTAGAAACACTTAAAATAAGGGCTGTGTTTTGTGTAGGTTTACCCTGGCATAACGTTTTGATAACCATGTAAATCTCTCGGAAAAGGTGACTCATCAATATATTCGGTTCTATTTACTCTTGATTCAAAAATGCTAATTAGCGTCAAAGTAGACATCATGCAAAACTACAAATCCCTGCAAGCTCCTGCAGGTCATCTCTAGCAGATACCTTTGTTAACAGATATTGTGTCCATTTACACAGTTCATAGAATTGTCCATTTAAAGAAATGTAGCCTACTTATTCATTACTACATTTAGCTAACATTAGATAGTTAATCCAGATATTCTTACCTTTGCCTCGATTCCGCAGTCTCATCCAGATCGTCCAAATGTGCTTAACACATCGCATAATAAGTTGCATGGACTCATTCCCTGTTCAATAATAGTGGTTAACATGATTTTTGAATAACTACCCCATCTCTGTACCCCACACATTCAATTATCTGTAAGGTCCCTCAATCGAGTAGTGAACTTCAAGCACAGATTCAAAGGAGGTTTTTCAATGCCTCGCAAAGAAGGGCACTGATTGGTAGATGTGTAAAAAAAAAAGCTGACGCTGAATATCCCTTTGAGCATGGTGAAGTTATTAATTAGGCTTTGGATGTTGTATCAATACACCCAGTCAGTTACTCCACAATACTAACCTAACTGACAGAGTTAATAGAAGGAAGCCTGTACAGAATAAAAATAATCCAAAACATGCATCCTGTTTGCAATAAGGCACTAAAGTAATACTGCAAAAATGTGGCAAAGAAATTAACTTTTTGTCCTAAATACAAATCGTTATGTTTGGGGCAAATCCAACACTGCATCACTGAATACCACTTCATATTTTCAAGCATGGTGGTGGCTGCATCATGTTATGGTTATGCTTGTCATTGGCAAGGACCAGGAAGTTTTTTTGGGATAAAAATAAATTGAATACAGCTATTTAAGCACAGGCAACTTGGTTCAGTTTGCCTTCCAACAGACATTGGGAGACAAATTCACCTTTCAGCAGGACAATAACCTAAAACACAAGGCCAAATCTACACTAGAGTTGCTTACCAAGACATCATTGAATGTTCCTGAGTGGCCTAGTTACAGTTGACTTAAAATCGGCTTGAAAATCTATGGCAAGACTTGAAAATGGCTGTCTAGCAATGATCAACAAACTTGACAGAGCTTGAAGAATTAAAAAAAGAATGGGCAAATATTGTACAATCCAGGTGTGCAAGACTCTTAAGAGACTTACCTAAAAAGACTCACAGATGTAATCGCCGCCAAAGTTGCTTCTACAAAGTATTGACTCAGGGGTGTGAATACTTATGTAAGTGAGATATTTCTGTATTTTATTTACAATACATTTGCTAAAAACATGCTTTCACTTTGTCATTATGGGGTATTGTGTGTAGATGGGTGAGAAAATTCACTTTGAATTCAGGCTGTAACAACAAAATGTGGAATAAGTCAAGGAGTATGAATACTTTCTGAAGGCACTGTATATATAATATAAAAAGAAACTGCAACACTTGTGATTTGATCTGTAACGACCTTGCCAGTGATTGATTGCTCAGGGCAAGGTGATAACTGATATAGACCTCTCTCAATGGGTGATATGGTGAGGTTTCCTGTATGATGTCATTGTTGTCTCCAGTTCTAATAATTACATTCTGCTTAGTGACCAGGCTGGAAAAACAGGGTTGGGGTCAATTCTGTTTAAATTCCTGTCCAGTCCAGGATACACGTAAAAAAAACAAAAACAACAACATTTGATTAATTGATAAATCCTCATAGAAAATTACTCACTTTCAAAAAACAAATTAAATGTAATCCAAAAATGTACAAAAAACCAAAACTTGTCATGTCAGAATAAAATTCACCACCATATAAAGCTGACTTTCACATTCAGTAAATTAAAAAAAAAAAAATCTTAAATTGACATTCGTAAGTTTTGTTGAGGATGTTGAGGGAAGCAGCGAGGGAGGCTAAGTGCAACCATAGCATGATCTCATCTGATCAATACTGAACCACTGCTATGCACGGAGAAACACTTACAGTAAATACTGAACTGTTAGTTTTTGAACTAACCAAAAAATTGGCCTTTTTGCTGAGAAACTTGGGACCCATAAGCTTTCACATTGTAATACCAGTCTGGGTTTAATATTGCAAACCAAACGGATAAAAATGTAAATGAAGTATGGTTCAATATTGTAATAACTCCTGTGGATGATTTACTGCAATCTAGAGTCCTGCACGGGTCAGTTTTTTGGAGCCACACCCACCAGGCACATCAATTCCGAGCCCAAACCGATATCCGACATCAGGACAGATTATTCTCCGCAACCCGACCCAACCGCATAGAATTGTTCGGAGAGCCGATCCGTGACCCGCCAAAAAAAGTAGATATTTAATAGTTTTTATGACTCCAGAGTAGGAGAGCAATAGGCTATTCCCATTCCCTGTATTCATTTGTCCGCATGTCTATTCAACATTTGGATAAAAGGAAACCATGCCATGAATTAAGAACGATAGGCCTCTCTTATTTTCACAATTGACAACTCAAATTGCTTTTAAAATGGAAAGGGGGATACCTAGTCAGTTAACCCTCTGAATCAAAGAGCCTTCCAATTAGCCTTCTTACCTAATGAAAGCCTATAGCCGACATAAAACAATACCTTTACATTCAATATTGTTTAGATAATCAAATAGTTTAATTGAAACAAACAATTCGCAGAATCGAATAGGTTATAGGCTGTAAAAATTGGCTACTGAAAAATTGGCTACTTTGTTTGTAAAACAAAATGACATCTTCATTTAAAAACGTTTCCGACCCGAAATATAATTGTTCTGAACCGTGAGCCGACCTGCGGGTTGAAAGAATGTTTTCATTGCACCCACCAGCTGATTTCCTTTGCAGGGAATCGTGGGTATCTGACCCGATGCAGGACTCTACTGCAATCTGACTGATATACTGGACATGTGGGGTCTAATATGATAACTGACCCATTGAAGTATTGGACCACTTAGGTTTTTAACTAAATACTGGACAAGTGGGGACTCATAATATTACTCCAGCGGTTATTTTACTGCAATATTGGACAACTTGGGCTTTTATTTAAATACTGGACAAGTGGGGACTTATTCTGTAACACTTGGGTATGAACGGGATCACTGTATTACCAGACCAGTGGGTCCCTCGCTGTAATACTGGACTGTTAGCGCTTCATTTTGTGAAGAGCCATACTGGAAATACTAGGGTTTGAGGGACATCCACTCAACAATTTATGACACCACAGTGAGTCATTGAGGAAGCACATCATGGCGAACTGTTAGGAGGAAATGATAGCGCACCAATTTTCAGCCTTCATTTATAAATAAATTAAACCAAAATAAAATAATCCAGGCCGTCTTCCTGTTAAAATCTGAAATTATAATCTCAAAACGCAGGGTGGCCTTAAAAAGGCCTGCTGATATGGAAGCGAGAAGGGGGAGATAGAGGTTTTTAAAAAAAGGCCTTTCCGCCAGGCCTGGACGGAGGGAGTCTCGCCGGTGAAGAACGTACCGAGAGAACTGGGGATGGGGTGGGAGTCGCTGCAGTTTGTTAAAAAGCACAGTAAAAATCTTTGACATTTACACTGTTAAAGTAAATACATTCAGGCAGTAGAGGGAGACGTAGTCTCCTCCCCCCCTTTGTAACGAGGTACATTTGGCACTGCTGTAACTATCGGTCCCTCTGTCTGTCTCTCCTGCAGTCTGTCAGTCAGACCTTCCGTACTCTGCCATCCGTGTCATCCTCCTCTTCCATACCACTCGTGCGTTCACGCGATGCTCACCGGATTTAAAATGGTAAAGGCGGTTGTCTGATTGTCTGCTGACTGACGTTCGATCCATTTCCGTCCCTCCGTGCTGTGTCAGACAGGAGCCTCTGGGTCAGAAGGCACATATGTGCGCCTTTCCACCGAGCCGTCCACTTAAATCTCCTCTATATAAAAACTCAGGCAGTGTGCAGACCACCAGGGTCCGGGTTCTAAGGGTCCTCTCCCCCCCACCACCCAGGTTAATTCCCAGCATCCTCTGTTCTGTAGTTCCTTTGGAAAAAGGCAAACCTCTTGGACGGTCAGACTCATATCCCGTTAGTCAGGTCCGTGATGATGTTGGCCTTCACCAGCTTGCGGAGGAACTCCTTTTCCTTGGATATGTTGTGTGTCCAGGACTGTGGAGGTGCAAGGGAACACAATGAGAAACAAGAAGATTGTCAGATGAATGCGGGTCAGGTTTCTTGCATCCTATTCTGCTTCTCTATCTCTCTGCATCAAAAAAATTAACTTGACCTGGTTAAGAGCCTTGCCATAAGTACTTTAGTAAATGCATAGTTTTTTCTGGTTAATGTGTGATAGATTAAAGTGTGTGTGTATGGAGCCACACCAAGTTTCCCTCCCCATTGTGATCCAGGCCCTCAGTCCGGTCGGCAGTGTGTGTAACCAGAGCAGGTGGTGGGCTCTGGGGCCTGATAGTGCGAGGACTGGGCTGAACTGGGCCCCACAGCTGGCCCAGGGAACCCACCTGGGTCCAAGCTGTGGGACCGAGCCGCTCGAGGGCCCCTGGCCTGTCTGTGTTGGCCCGGCCCGGACACTGACGGATCTCACTCACACGGAACCACACGGATCCAGGGCTAGGGTTTCAATGCTCTACAGGGAGCTTGGCCGGGAAAGACGGGAGCGGTAACACCGGTGTGTGTGTCTTCAGAGTCCAGGGATGAGGAGCTAGGTCAGAAAGTAGACGATATGGAAGCAACCTCCCTCTTGCTTTAACATCTTTGCATCCACATAACACACACATACAAATGGTGTGTACAGCCATGCTGTACAGTGTGGTATTCTACATTCACTCCTGTACGGTCCCTTTACACTAAGCTAAAGAAAGTTGAAAAACACCCCAAAGTGCACCTTGAGCCGTCTTGCGTCTATGGTGGGTAACGCTGTTTGAAGGAGGGGACTAGTTCACGTCAGACAGTGAGTAAGGATACAATTGCATCTCATCACCCCCTGAGAGGTGACCTCAGCACATTACCACCAGTGGAAGGACATGAGGGAGAGGTAGTCTTTTAGTGTTCCAATGACGATAGACCTACCAGTTGATGTTTCCATTGATTACACTGCTCAACATGGCAAATGTCAGGAGTTCACTGGGAGTTTAGACAAAGGTTATCATTCTGAGCTCATAGTTCATATGACAGCTCCCCTCTGTGACATCTGTAATAATAGAACACTGATGCAGTCGGGAGTGGAGGATTAAAACGCTCTGTCTTGGGGTAATTTATTTGGTCGAAGTTCAAAGGGAGGAGGGGGGGGATGCAAGAGCCAATCAAAAAGACACAGATATCGGAATAACACTCTCGTTAGTCTAATAGGTCTAGTGGGGAGCCAATGTAGTCTCCGCTCTCTCATCTGCACTCACCTGAAAACACAGGATCAGGGAAAGCAATATGGTGGATGTGTACTGACAATGCGTTTTCACAAGGAGAGGACACACCACTCGAAGAGTCCTGAGATGTACTCATTTCCAGTTGATATGAATGCAACAAAAACACGCACCTCTTTGATGGCAGACATTTTGACCGTCTCGTAGTAGTGCAAGGGTGCGTGAGGCGTGTTCATGTCATAACCGAAGCCGGCCACCACCACCTCATCACAGTTATGCAGCGCCATCGTTATGGCGACCGTCCCCAGGGTTGGAATATTCTGGAAAAGCAGAAGCACAGAGGTGGCCATTAGTGGTGCGTGGGTCAGCTGTTTGTTCACCCGCACCCGTCTCATAACCCATCTGAAACCACCCGACTATATGTGATGAAGTGAAAATCTGAGGCCCGCACCGGACCCGCAAATATAGTAAATGTGCTGTAGGCTACAGTCAGAGACGGCAGAATGATTTTATGACAGGGGATGCAGGATTTTCTTTGTTTAATTTGCATATGTTTCTGCTTATAATTTCTGTCATTTGTTAGTCAACTTGTCTATAATTAAATACATGCAGCTTCTCTTCTGTCATTATATGTTAACCTAGAAAACTAAATAAACCCTTGCTCACCAGAATGTCATAAATTATAGAATGAATGCTTCAATCTAGTCGACATCGGTAAAGTTATGTCATCCCTGCCTCTTTCGCGGAGCAAAGACGTTTAGGGACCGGGGAAAAATAAAAATGAGAACAATTTTCTGTGCCAAATTTCCAAATGACATCAGTTTGACCACTTGTAAGGAAATACAAATGCTGTGAAAACGACCCAACATGTTTCTGATAAGATTTCAGTTCGGCTTGGTTGCATATTTTATGTGGTTTAAATACTATCAGCTTTTATGATGCTGATAAAGATAGAGGACTGTCTGTAGATGCTGAAAATCCTCATATTTTCAGCATCTACAGAAATCATATTTCTCAACTCCTGTTCCTGAGTCAAAATGTACATTTGGTGTATCATTTTACTAAATGAAATGCTTAATTCTGCAGGAGTTAATATTAAGAAAGGTTATAGACCTACAGTTAGTGTCCAGATCTCAGTTTCCATATAACCCATCTGAACAGTAGGCTACAGTTCCCTTGACGTGCCATAGGCCTATTTGAAGTCCGTCTTGTGAATGTTGAATTTGTATAGCACCTCACAACCATCACACATAACATAGCAGGCACTGCTATCATCCTCTTTACCACTTTACCAAATCTTTCCCAAACATTACTTTTCTGGCTCTCCCTTCTCTTTATTTTCAACTCTCCATTTTGCAGCTTTTTCTTATTTAATTAAACTCCAACATTGTCCTTTTTGCCTCAGTGGATCGACTAACTTTTCTGCCTGTTCCCAAAAGTGTTTGGTGATTGGCGTGTAGGCTATTTGGCTCGCGTAAAGTTAGGCCCTAAAGCTTAAGCTTACGCACTAATGACAGATAGCCTAAAAAGAAAAACCTCAATGTAGCCTATAGATATAAATTGCACAAGAATTATACTTAAAAAAATAATAATTATGTATTATTTTTTCTTTAGTCAACCCGCGCATCACTAGCGGCCATGTCACTTTATTATAGTGGGTCGTATCTTATATGTTGGGGTGCAATGTAGGAAAAAAGCGTTATTAGAAGGTGAGACGAGAGTTTGTCATCAACGAGCCAACACCCTTTACACTAAGAGCAGTAGGTAGTACAAGAAAGCATTGGAAATCAAATCAAAACTGAAAATGTCTATATGAACCGTTGTATTCCCCATCTTCCTTTACATCTGCTATCTTGCTTCTAGTCTGTGACTGGTCTGGCACCACTCTCCCTTTCCGCTCCCCCTGTTGCTCCGGAGTTGTTAACTCGTCCTGATCTGAGTGTGATCAACAATTTGCTTAAAGAGGCGCACCCCCACAATGTCACAGTAGTTTGAGAGGGCAGACCTCCACTTCCTCAAAGCCTAGGGGTACATGGGGAGGAGGAGGAGGGTTGGAGGGGATGAGAGGCCCCCTCTAAATCATCAGCCTGATTTGGAGCCCTCAGGGCAGGTGTATCTTAGTGTCCCCCCCCGTGTCAGCACGTAAACACCCACACGCACTAATCAGGAGCAATAAAGGTGGGCATTTTAGGGGAATGATGTGTCAGGCTGCATCCTGCCTTGATCATTATTGTTTGGGACAGCCCCCCACCAACACACATACCCACACACACACACTGAGGGGGCACCAGGGCTCCCCACATGTTCTACACATGTTCCTGTAGACCAGGTGTTCAGGGCAGAAGGCTGTACATTTCTTGTACCCCTTCCCACCTCCCTAACTCCTTTTGCAGCCCACCTCCCTAACCCCTAACCCATCTCCCCTGCTCTCTTCTTTGGAACTTCAGCCTTTCAAGCTAGTCTGCTGCACAGTTCCTGTCCTGGAGGGTGACAGCATTTGCGGTAATATGTCTGAAGATTCATTTTCCCTCCGTAAACCGTTTTCTAGAGCAGTGGTCTGCAACATGTGGCCCTGGAGCCTTATGTGGTTCTTTAACTGCCCCTTTGTGGCTCCATGACAACCTATAATTAGTCATTAATAGACTATACTATCAATTAACCCATCAAATTAGTTGTAGTTCACAATAGAATATGAAAACAGCTGAAGTTGGCTAGACCACTTACTATTCAACACAATTCTGTTTAGTTTAGTTTGAAATGAAGTCAGGTGCGGCCATGTCTATCAATCATAGGGTTCATCCATAGCAGCTACCAGAGCACTAGGTTTTTGTGAGAATATATAAAAAATAAGTATTCCTGTCATTTGGGTCTTTGATCTCCAAGACATGTTTGGAGACTTGTTTTAAAGGAATACTGCGGGATAATGCTACCGTACCTGTAGACTTGCAGTCATTGAGCTAATGCTAGTTAGCATTGGCTCACAAAACGACCACTAACTTCCTTCATACAGCACATCAACTGATTCTGGGTAAGTAAAACAAGGGCTTAAATGCCAGAATCTCGCAGTATCCCTTTAACGGTTTAATTTCCTGTGATGGCACGGCAAGGTGCTGCGTTGCGGTGGTTGTCATAGGAACAGGGGTTCTACTGGCAGCGAGGTTTGAGTTTGTGTCAAACACACTTTGGTTATGACCGCGCGGTCGGTCAACGGCTCCCGGCTGCCTGTGGGTTGTGTACCGTTTCGTCGCATGTGTTGAGTGTGTGCGCATATATATGTGAAAGAGGGAATGCGCCTCTGTCGGGGTGTGCATATTATTCTTGAACTTAAAAAAAAAGTGAGTAAGAGTCTATACACTTTGTACTGCATGTGTGAATGCATGTCTGCATATGTGTTTGCGTGCAGACTGCAAACTGAGCTGAATCTTATCCACCTGAATCAGGTGATTGAAGACATGGCATTTTCCGCAAACGTCTACTAGCACCATACATGTTTTTTCAGAACATTCTGATGGTTCTTCTCAGGACATTCCAATGCAATGCAATTTTTTGATAACATTTATATTTTTATTCAACTGGAGCGGGTTTCTGTTTGAGTGTCACTCACCCCTTTGCCCATGAGTCCATTATTGAGCGGCAGGCCGATGAACTGGAAGGCAGCCTCCTGGATGAAGTAGGGGTTAAGGATGCGCATCTCTGTGGGCTCCCTGGGGACGTAGTGTGCAACAGACTTCCAGAAGCCCTCTGTACCCCGCTGAGAGAGGAAGAGAGGAGATGTTGAGTCTCAGGAAAGGCATTGAAAGTAAAAATGTTCATACAATTTGTCATTTTGGGGGTCAAAGGAGTACTACTTAGTATGAGGTAGCCGGAGGTTCAAACACAAAGAGATGATCTTTTATAACATTGACATAGAACACAAAGGTCACATAACCCAGAGAGGCCCACCTAGAGACTCGCTCCCTACATTGATTGGGAAAATGGCGCTGTGCCTCGGGGGTAACATGGAGGATGGCCAATCGACCATAATTACGACCACGGTAGCGCCCCCTCATCAGCTAGGAAGTGTTACAGGAAGTAAGCCAAATCACACCCTGACCTCAGAAGGGGTTCCGGGAGCACTCACACCCCTCTGGTACCTCCTACTCCAATCACCACAGAGACCAGACCCGACTAGCTACACCACACCAGAGGTAAATTACTCCCAAATCTAAGGGCACGTATTTACCTGTTGTCTGACTTCATATACTCCGGAATGCCAAAAACAGACTTCCGCGCATACTTTACTCAAGACAATGAAAGTTGGAGTTACATGTGAATCTAAAGCCAGAATATTAAGATAAAAATCTGATGCAGTTTTTCGCAAAGTCGGAAGTTTACATACACTTAGGTTGGAATCATTAAAACTTGTTTTTCAACCACTCCACAAATGTCTTGTTAACAACCTATAGTTTTGGCAAGTCGGTTAGGACATCTACTTTGTGCATGACACAAGTAATTTTTCCAACAATTGTTTACAGACAGATTATTTCACTTATAATTCACTGTATCACAATTCCAGTGGGTCAGAAGGTTACATACACTAAGTTGACAGTGCCTTTAAACAGCTTGAGTCAATTGGAGGTGTACCTGTGGATGTATTTCAAGGCCTACCTTCAAACTCAGTGCCTCTTTGCTTGACATCATGGGAAAATCAAAATAAATCAGCCAAGACCTCAGAAAGAAAATTGTAGACCTCCACAAGTCTGGTTCATCATTGGGAGCAATTTCCAAATGCCTGAAGGTACCACGTTCATCTGTACAAACAATAGTACGCAAGTACAACCACCATGGGACCACGCAGCCGTCATACCGCTCAGGAAGGAGACGCGTTTTGTCTCCTAGAGATGAACGTACTTTGGTGCGAAAAGTGCAAATCAATCCCAGAACAGCAGCAAAGGACCTTGTGAAGATGCTGGAGAAAACAGGTACAAAAGTATCTATAACCACAGTAAAACGAGTCCTATATCAACATAACCTAAAAGGCCGCTCAGCAAGGAAGAAGTCACTGCTCAAAAACCGCCATAAAAAAGCCAGACTACGGTTTGCAACTGCACATGGGGACAAAGATCGTACTTTTTGGAGAAATGTCCTTTGGTCTGATTAAACAAAAATGGAACTGTTTGGGCATAATGACCATCGTTATGTTTGGAGGAAAAAGGGGGTCGCTTGCAAGCTGCAGAACACCATCCCAACCGTGAAGCACGGGGGTGGCAGTATCATTCTGTGGGGGTGCTTTACTGCAGGAGAGACTGGTGCACTTCACAAAACAGATGGTATCATGAGGAAGGAAAATTAAGTGGATATTTTGAAACAACATTTCAAGACATCAGTCAGGAAGTTAAAGCTTGGTCGCAGAAGGGTCTTCCAAATGGACAATGACCCCAACCATACTTCCAAAGTTGTGGCAAAATGGCTTAAGGACAATAAAGTCAAGGTATTGGAGTGGCCATCACAAAGCCCTGACCTCAATCCTATAGAAAATGTGTGGGCAGAAGTGAAAAAGCGTATGCAAGCAAGGAGGCCTTCAAACCTGACTCAGTTACACCAGCTCTGTCAGGAGGAATGGGCCAAAATTCACCCAACTTATTGTGGGAAGCTTGTGGAAGGCTACCCGAAACGTTTGACCCAAGTTAAACAATTTAAAGGCAACGCTACCAAATACTAATTGAGTGTATGTAAATGTCTGACCCACTGGGAATGTGATGAAAAAAATAAAAGCTGAAATAAATCATTCTCTCTGCTATTATTCTGACATTTCACATTCTTAAAATAAATTGGTGATCCTAACTGACCTAAGACAGGGAATTATTACTAGGATTAAATGTCAAGAATTGTGAAAAAGTGAGTTTAAATGTATTTGGCTAAGGTGTATGTAAACTTCCGACTTCAACTGTATCTGCCAAATCCACAATAATATTTTATAACGTTAGCTAGGTAGCTACGGCTAGCTCTTGTCCTCTGACAACATCCCTCAGGCATCATGCCTGTACTGTGATGTTCCACACACACACACACACACACACACACACACACACACACACACACACACAAACAGTAGCATTCTGCCACAAACAGCACTGGTCGACTGACTAGCCTGCCTGCTTGCCTGACTGACTACCTTGCACACAATCAAAGGGGTCAGCAGATGTAAATGGGAAACCTGTTCAAATAGTCAGACGCCCGCCCTGCCGCCTTGATATTAGGGGGGAATAATGGAAGAGGCGGTTAGATAGCGTGTTTTCAACCAGGGGCCTCCGAGCCCTCCGCAAGCCGTGGCAGGAAAACCTCATCTCTACTGTCAACACGCTGCTTGTGTTATGGGATCTGTTTGGCAGCGCTGTCGTAGCAGTAAGTAATGCATTTTACTGTGGAAAGCAGAGATGGTGCCGACTCAAAGAGACGGTACACATACACACAGAGACAAGAGTGTCATGTCTGAGGAGTCAGACAAACAAGTATTAAGAGAAAGGTACATCCAAGAGGAAAGCTAATTAGCGGGTAACAGCAGTGCTTTTCAATAAACACTGATCATTTCCAATGAAGCTACCTATAACATGAAATGAGAGATATAGCCTATTTCTACAGGTTTCTGAATGTAATGAAGTTCTCTCACTCAGAACTCAAAGAACGGTCTCTGAATGGGCCCCTGGGGGACAGGAAGTGATTTCCCCTCCGCTGTGACATGGGTCGGTGAGTCAGGAGAAACTTAACTGATGGGCCGTTTGAACAGATAAAACAGGAAGCTGCAGAATGATCCTGTCCTACTCGCTCTCATGCCACACTAAACCTGAGTCAACCATACACACGCACAGATGGATGTGCGAACACGTACACGCACACACTGGGGTGAACAGACGTGTATGGCTTGTAGGGCGGTGGCTGTATTGGGTTGTGGTATAGCCTAGAGGAAATGGCTATTTCCCTTCTCTCGTGACAGGTTTATGGTGAAATTGGTCTGGATTATTAGATTTTGTCAAGTGAAAATCTCACTTTTAAAAGTTAATATTCTGCTAACTCATACCCAAATAATGTTGTTGACTCATCCTATACTCATATTTGCAACCAAAGCATAAACATGTATCTCAAACAGGCCGTTTCAAAAATGCTTTCTATTTCCTCAGAGTATGATGTCATACTCCTGAGAAGGATGAACTGGCAAATCCACGGTCTAGAGGAGGATGAGCTGGCCAATCAGCAATCACACCCCTAGACTTTTTCCACATGTTGTTGTGTTACAGACTTAATTTTAAATTGAATAAATCAAGATTTTGTGTCACTGACCTACACACAATACCCCATAATCTCAAAGTGGAAGTATGTTTTTTACAAATTACTTAAAAAAGAAAAGCTGAAATGTCTTGGAGTCAATAAGTATTCAACCCCTTTGTGATGGCAAGCATAAATAAGTTCAGGAGTAAAAATGTGCTTAACAAGTCACAATAAATTGCATGGACTCACTCTGCGTGCAATAGTATTTAACATGATTTTTGAATGACTACCTCATCTCTGTACCCCACACATACAATTATCTGTAAGGTTGTCGAACACTGAATTTCAAACACAGATTCAACCACAAAGACCAGGGAGGTTTTCCAATGCCTTACAAAGAAGGGCGGCTATTGGTAAAAAAAAGAAAAAGCAGACATTGAATATCCCTTTGAGCATGGAGAGGTTATTAATTACACTTTGGATGGTGTATCAGCTCACCCGGTCACTCCAAAGATACAGGCGTCCTTCCTAACTCAGTTGCCGGAGAGGAAGGAAAACGCTCAGGGATTTCATCATGAGGCCAATGGTGACTTAAAAACAGGTAGAACGTTTAATGGCTGTGACAGGAGAAAACTGAGGATAGGTCAACAACATTGTAGTTACTCCACAATACTAACCTAACTGACAGAGAGAAAAGGAAGCCTGTACATAATACAAATATTCCAAAACATGCATCTTGTTTGCAACAAGGCACTCAAATAATACTGACAAAAATGTGGCAAAGCAATTAACTTTTTGTCCTGAATACAAAATGTTATGTTTGGGGCAAACCCATTACAACACATTTACGGAGTACCACTCTCCATATTTTCAAGCATCGTGGTGGCTGCATCATGTTATGGGTATGCTTGTAAATTGGTAAGGACTTGGGAGTTTTTCAGGATAAAAAATAAAACAGAATGGAGCTAAGCACAGGCAAAATCCTAGAGGAAAACCTGGTTCAGTTTGCTTTTCAACAGACACTGGGAGATGAATTCACCTTTTAGCAGGACAATAACCTAATACACAAGGCCAAATCGACACTGGAGTTGCTTACCAAGAAAACAGTGAAGGTTCCGGAGTGGCCGAGTTACAGTTTTGATTTAAATCTGCTTGAAAATCTATGGCAAGACCTGAAAATGGTTGTCTAGCAATGATCAACCAATTTGACAGAGCTTGAATCATTTTTTCAAGAATAAAAAAAAAGCTCTTAGAGATTACCCAGAAAGACTCACAGCTGTAATCGCTGCCAAAGGTGATTCTAACATAAATTGACTCAAGTGTTTTTTTTTGTACGTGTTTATTTTTTTTAATTTTTTTACATGTTAGAATGTCTTCCACTTTCACAGAGTATTTTGTGTGTTGACAGAAACATGACAAGTAAATCCATTTTAATCCCACTTTGTAACAACAAAATGTGGGAAAAGTAAAGGGGTGTGAATACTTTCTGAAGGCACTGTAGGTAAT